CAACGAAGCCGCAGAATTAGAGGCGATATTACACAAGTTTGCGAGGTCCGCCAACGTTATTCGACAGAAATACGGCAACGATCTTCTGCAGAGTCTAGCTGCATTGAAGGACACAGGCCAACTAGATGCTCAATATCCAGTGCCGGCTCTAAAGGAGGTTAACCACGCAATAGAGCGAGCTCGTCTGATGGTTTCAAAATATCACGAACAAATCTATGACGCCCTTGCTAGTGAAGACCATCGATTCCAATGGCTGCGGCTTGGTGCTCTCTGGCCTTGCACATCGCCGACCGAGATGCTTATGTTCCTAAGATCTACATCAGCCTACAACTTCGGGGTTGGGATGAAAAAAGCTCTAGTTTCCTACGGAGTAGCTGTTACAAGTCTACAACGGCTAGAGCGGCTCCGATCCGCGGTTCTGCGCGGGGATAAGCGAGCCTCTGATGAAGAATTGCGTAACCCAGGTCACCAGAACTGGTCGCCATTTAAATCCACAGACTGGCTCTTACTCGAAATTGATAGCGACTTTCTTATACGAGCCGAACAGGTGGATGTTGCTTGTGCCATGATAGCGCCAAAGTCTGATCAAAATAGTGTGCTACAAATGAACATGGGCAAAGGTGAGTACATCGGCTAATATAGCAAGACGATGCTATTACAAGGCCAGCGTTAACTGTATTGTAGGAAAAACGTCGTGCATTGTACCGATGGTGATAGCCATCCTAGCAGACGGTAAAAATCTTTCACGTTTAATTGTGCCAAAAGCGCTTCTCATGCAGACAGCGCAGACCACCCAGTCACGATTAGGAGGTCTCGTAGGGCGTGAGGTTCTTCACATTCCTTTCTCACGGAAGACCCCAACAACCCCTGAGATGTTGGAGCTATACGAGAGGCTTCACCGGCTTATTCGTACCCGTAGAGGATTAATTCTCACCAGCCATGAACATGTTCTGTCATACAAATTAGGCGGATGGCAGCAACTCGCAGACGGCAAATTAAAGGCAGCAAAAAGCATGAACAACTTCCAACGCTGGCTAGACGAAAATTGCCGAGATGTATTAGACGAATGCGATTTCACCCTTGCGGTTAAGACGCAACTCAATTACCCCAGCGGGCCCGAGATGGCTGTTGACGGTCACCCATTTCGATGGCAAGTCGCTCAAGAATTGCTTGCTTTGGTAGCCAATTACCTTCCGAGCTTAGCGAAAACATTTCCAACTAGTATTGAAGTATTATGGCGCTCAGGATCTTTTCCGATCCTGCATTTTCTGAAGAATGATGTGGAAGAGGCCATTCATGACTACATACTAGAAAGTATCTGTAGGGGACAAACAACCTTTCTTCGCCCCGCAGATTCAAGTTTCCGAGGTCGACAGGGAATAATTCGGCGAGTCCTATATGAGCCGAAGTTAGACGAGCGTATTTTCCTGCAGGCAGTCAATGCATTCGTCAACCCACAGGCAGCGTCGAAGATACTTCTTGTGGTTCGAGGCCTTCTGATTAATAGGATCCTCCTCCTTTGCCTCAACAAGAGATGGAATGTCCAATACGGTCTTCATCCCAAGCGTGATCCTATCGCGGTGCCCTTCGAAGCTAAAGGTACTCCATCCGAGCAATCCGAGTTCGGTCATCCGGATGTGTCTATATTATTTACGTGTTTAGCGTTTTATTACACTGGTCTCACCTCCGCGCAGTTCCGTCAGGGGCTGCAGTACGTTCTTCAGTCAGATGATCCAGCCGCACAGTACGAGCTGTGGTCTTCCGGTTGTGACAGTTTGCCGGAGGCATTGCACCACTGGAATGTAATAAACATTGACGACGGAGGGCAGCTAGAGGAGTTGTGGAAACACTTGCGTCTGAGTCGAATCGTCATTGACCACTATTGTAACCATTTCGTCTTTCCAGTCCATGCCAGACAGTTCGAAATCAAATTGCAGGTTTCGGCGTGGGACATCCCACTATTTTCGAAGGATCAACGTGGTGCCAGGACAACGGGCTTCAGCGGCACCAATGACAGTCGTATGAATCTTCCTTTGACCATTCGACAAGACGACCTTCCTAGCCTGCAGCAGACAAGCGCGGAGGTACTTTCATACCTTCTACAACGATGTAATCGAAGCTACCAGGTTACTGCAGACGCTCAAGGCAAGCGATTAACTGAGGAAGGCCTACTACGTCAACTATATGGTAAAGGCATCCGCACCCTGGTTGATGCCGGAGCCTACATACTCGAGATGGACAATAAGACGGTTGCCCAGACATGGCTAAGAATCGATATCCAAGCCGATGCGGCTGTTTATTTCGGCGCAGATAACCGCGCTTGGGTCCATTATCGCGGAGATAAAAAGAATGATGTTCCTCTCTTAGCCACTCCCTTCGTAGATGATCTTCGGAACTGTGTTGTATATCTGGACGAGGCGCATACACGCGGTGTAGACCTGAAGCTTCCAACAGACGCCCACGGTGCATTGACGTTGGCACTGAAGCAAACTAAAGACTACACTATGCAAGGTAAGTACCGCTCACTATCTAGGCTTTATCTTTGATACTCCTTTGCTTTGGAAGTACGGCTCGTCTAATCATATTAATAGCTGCTATGCGCCTCCGTCAGCTGCGTACCACTCAATCAGTCAGTTTTTTTGCCCCCCCTGAAGTTGATCAGAGCATCAGGGACCTTTGCCGCCCGGCAAGAGGTACGAGCATTGACTCTTCTCATGTTGTTGCTTGGCTTCTCGAGCAAACATGTTGTGTAAACGAGGATCTGCAAAGCCTATACGTGGCTCAAGGTGTCGACTTCTGCCAGCGTACGGACGCAATTTGGCGCTATAATAACTTCCTTGCAGATCCGACACAACGCGCAAAACTACTAGAGACGATACAGCAACCGGAGCGCCAGACATTAGAGCAGTTGTATGGCGGGGCTCTAGCAGGCTCACGAATAGGCACTGTGGACCGTATGTCTACTCCACAGTTGCAGAAATTCGCAGACCAACTTAACCAATCCTATGGAGAGCGCGGCCCTCTTCACGTAGGTGCTATGGAAGAGGTCGAACAGGAGCGCGAGCTTCAAGTACAAGTTGAACAGGTGCGCCAGATACAGAAGCCGCTCCGGTACGAAGCTCTGACATTCCCGGGCCTCCATCCGGTTATCTCATATTTTGCACGCACGGGAGTGCTGGAACATACATCATCGAATCAGAATGAGGCCGCATTCGAACACGCATTTACATATGTAGCAAGGACTACCCTGGGAAAGCAATTCCGCGTGCGAGAAACAGACTCGCGAATCTTCGTATCGACGGAATTTGGGCGGACGGTCAAGTGTAGGAAGAACAGCGTGATTGATAACTTCATGGTAAGTAATCGCCACTAAATGCTTTAATTAATGAGAATTACTGACATTGGATAATAGCGTCCCGTGGAATGGATACTCTGGAGTCCCTCAACACAGACAGCACTTGTTATTATTCCCGAGGAGGCTGAGTTATTGATTCCTTTGCTTCGTACCAATACCCGCTCCCCACGCGTCCATTTAATTGCCTACGCAGCACCTGTTACGAAAACTATGGAAATCTTCAATAGTTTCAAGTATTACAGTCTTCCGGCGCTACCGCTCACCTACAAATTCCCGGAGTGGTTTAGATTCGAACTGGGTATACTGGGTGGCCGTCTGTATGTTAGCTTGGCTGAATGGGACCCATTAAGCCGTTACATACGATCGTCGTACGATGAGGCAGGTGAGTCGTCTAAAGGAAGCACAAAGTCAAAGCAGGCGAATGAAGTAACGTCCGCTCCATTTGCGGACGACCCGTCCTCTTTCCTCCTTGAGTGGCTCACGCTCCTTCGCAAGACGCAGGATGTCCTACATACGCCTATGGGTTACATCTGCACCGGACGTGCACTCGGAGGACCAAGCGAATTCCAGGAGTCGTTATCGTGATTATTTAATCGCGGTTAAACTGACATATTAAACTGCAATGTTGGAAAGCACGGAAATGCCGTCTTAGAATTTACTGCAGTTTGTACTTAACTTGGACTCCATATTCAGTCTATGATTTTGCATCATGGCACTTGTAATAAGAAATTGAGTCTGTTTTTATAATGATCCTCGTGATGCAATGATAATGACCGTATGTGATTTGACCTATGTGTTATTTGGGAATGATACCGATTGTATTAATTTTGCTGAGAGCTTCTAGTTACTGACAATTAGCTTAGTTAACTAGTACCTAATTCTTGAAATATCTATTTTCTCTAATCTCGCATCCGTATATTCTAATCTTAAACTTTCACGGATTGAATAGACTACAGGTTCAAAAGGATTTATAATAATAAAAAAGCCTAATAGATGTCTTGAGTTTCCCGCTAGAGAATCATAGCAATAGACTCTTCTAACCCTGATTGCGTTCTGGAACCATTCAGGACCCCTATTTGTACGACCCAACACATGAAAACCAGGATATGAAAACTACCTGTCTATATAAATAAATTAATTTTTAATAAAACATACTAGTCTTTCAAAGCCTAACATTTCAAACGCATTAACCAGCATCATTGTTTAACACTAGTAGCTCTGTTACAAGTCCCTTAATTGAAACTCGAGAAGCAATCTGAGGTACCGGATTAGTAAAGCGTAAATATAGGTATATTTCTACAGGCAATATTCCAAACAATCTTGTGTAAATAATAAATAGGAGGCGGAAATATAATAAAGGGGGAGCAGTACCTAAGGTAATCGAGATTTTACTCGCTCGCTATCTCTCCAAGGCGGTCGATGAATTGTTTATATGAAAGAAACACAACGACAGGGGTAGTTATTTAATATTCTCAAATGGAGAAATAGGGGATAGACACCCTGGCAAGCAAATCTACGATTTTATCAATCTGTTTGGCCCATCGTCGTAGGCGAAATAAAATGTAGAAAGGGTTCTGTCTTACGATTCGGTGTTCAACCGCTTGGGTCTGTACTAATCTTTGGAAACAACTTTAGTCGACATCGGTTATCCCCTCCACCAAGTCTCTCGGCACTCAAACTTGTAGTCGATAGCCATTTCTTGGAGTAGCTTGTCAAGCAGTGTTTCTCGCAGCGAGGTTATATCTTGATCGAAAATACCCAAGGCGTGAGCGACCTTTTCCGCGGTCTCGTCGCTGTCGAAATTGATCTCGGGACGAGGTGTTTCTTCGATATCAATCACGATGGGGGTCATCTGTGGCATAGCATTTATGAACACGTAGTGATTACCCGGACTCTTGTCGACCGGGGTAGTTTCCTTGCCCTTTCCCTTCCTATCGTATGATGAGATTCTATCCCGCTCGCCACGGTAGAGTGCCGGTTTCTTGTTGACAATCTCCCCGGTGTCAATATTGACAAAGGAAGTTTTCTCCTTTTCTCCGTTTACGCTTATCAAAACCCATTCTGGTGGAAGCCGCCACGTTTTTCTCTGTAACTCGGCCTCGCGTTTGAAGTGCTCGTTGGCCTCTAGTTCACTGCGGAATCCGTACAGAGGTCGGTACATAGATTCGGCATCTAAGAACAACTGTCTCTGCGTAGCTTCTAGATCCTCGCTTAACGTACCCAGTAGTAAGTCGTCCAAGACTTCTTCTGGTGGGTATTTCATGCCTGTCTCTTCTTCCACTTCTTGCGTGGGTTTACTTGAAGAGAGTGGTTGGGGCCAACCTCCGTGAAAGTTGCGCCGACGGGTTGAGAAGGGCAAGCCATCACGCAGCAACATCTCGCGCTGTTTTGCTGCCTTTTCCTCTATATGCTGTTGAAGCTTTCCTATTTTGTAGTTCTTTCCCGCCTTGTCTTTGAGTTGCTTGATGATGGAGCGTATGTCTTGCACCCATTTATGGATTTCTAATTTACCTCCCGATTCGATACTTGGTGGGTAAGCACCACTTACGCCGAGGAGGCTGATGGCTAAATCGAGCGCGGTCCAATTAGAGGTACTAAATTCACGGTAGGAGCTGCCGTATGGTGTCGTGAATGAAAATCCGGCATTCAGATCAACATCACTTCGTTTTAGGAGAACTCGCATAGCTTCAACGTGGCCACCACCTGCTAGGACATGCAATAGTGTGGTGTCGTTCGAAGCCTTTTCGTTGATTCTGCTTGAGAACGCTTCGAGACCGAGTAGGAATTCAAGAAGATAAGAGTCCTGAATTTGGTCTTGTCGACGGTTAGGCCGTGGTCCCCTGAAGACGTACTCCCATATAGGTCTGTCTTCTGGTCCATAAAAGTGCATTCCGCCGTGATTTGCAAGCCATTTGAGACTATCTATGAGTTCCGGTTTCCGATTTACGGACCACCCCTGGATGAGAATAGCGAACAACGATTTCCCGCCAACATCACGACCTATCATCGTCTCTAAATAGGAGCTGCACTGAGATGCGATAAGGTCCGCTGCTGGGAGATAAAATGCATCTAATGCGATCAGGAGTGCGCTATGACCTGGGAAAAGGTGTGTGTCTACCATGTGAGCATCATTCTCTAACAATATGCGAATGAAGTCCATATGTGCAGACCGAGCACACGCAAGATGAAGTAGTGTGATTCCTCCCCTACAGACCTCTTCGAATATCAGATCTGGGAATGCCTTGACGAGATATTCAAAGCAACGAATGGCACGGAACCCGATGCATAGACTCAATGCACCGTGTGCTTTAAGATGATCGATGCCTAGATTCGAGTGCCACGCCTTTCCAGCATCTCTCACATGGTCGATAACAGGAAAGCCACAGGAGTGAAGCTTCTGGGTAAACAATTTAAGACCTATGATGTCGTCTTTCTTAAGTGCTTTGCACCAGGGGCAAATTTCATCGTCGACTTGTATTGGATCCGCGCCTTCTTCGAGAAGTATACGGAGACATTTTTCGTACCTCGAATCGAATTCGCTACCATGCATAACTCGTCGATCTAGTTCTGAATCGTCAATATTATACATAGTATAAAGAACAAGCTCATTCAAAGTCTTCATAGTGTCCCGTGGGCGTGCATCATCCATCAAGGTGTTGTCTTCCAGTAGGCCAAGAAGACATTCGCCTACTTCATGTTGTAAGTATCTAAAACTCAAACACAAAGCAATCATGAAGTCTGGTATGGCAGTAGCAGTCTCGACATGGAGGTACAAAATAGCCATGGCTAACTCTGTCTTCCCATGGCTTATAGCAGATGATAAAGGGGAGTAGGGTGTAGGGTGCAAACACTCATTGTCTATTAGCGGCCCGCGACTGAGAAGAGGCGATTGTCCTGATATTAGATTGCTCAATTTAGCTCCTCGTTCGAATGCCGTCCTAGCGAGTTCCGAAGCTTCTGTGTCGGTGAGATGCGAGAGCTCGTATAAGAGGTCTGGAATAATCTCAGCCTGACTATCTGTCATCGTTTCACCGCTCAAAACCTGTTTAACTGCTGCTGAATCGCCGACATCTAACGCTTGTCGCAAGGTAACTGGTTTCTCTATGACAGGATGTGATTTAGAGTATAATTCAAGCATTTGAAGGAGGGACAAAGAGTCTGGCTTGACTCTAGTCGCTTTGGATATTAGTTTCCGCTCACGCAATATGTCACTAATCATATTGAAATGGTTTGGCCACTGTGAAGAAAGTCTGTGTAGCGCAAAGTCCGAGTTCGAAAGGGCAAGCAACGAAAGATATAATCGCACAGGGAACTGACGTGTGGCAGTGTCTTCCGTGGCCATAAAAACAATTAAGTGCATACCCCTTGAAGATCCACAGAGAGCAGCAACATTCATCCAGTCTAGCGCTGCTTCTAGATTTAATCTTCCTTCGAAGAAGTGAAACAGTCCTTGTTGCCATGCCCGTTCCCGAAGCCCAGCCAACTTGGCCTCGGCTTGGATGATTCCTGAGTTCCTTAGACCTCCTAGGGTATCATGCAAGATCCTGATGAATCCGGTACGGGATATACCCTTAGGAAGTTCTGGTGGGATATCAATGTCGTTATTTGAACTTCCCTGGTGGAGTAGGTTTTTGATATCCTCGAGAATAAGAGAATGTTGCTCGAACATGGCTTGCTTTAGTCGCACCCTTTGAAACCAGAAGCGGTCATCGTCATTCTGATCTGGTGTTTCTTGAGGATCTGGACCGTGATCTAGTCCTGATTGCGTCTTAAAATCCTCTTGGGTGCTTTCACTTGTCTCTGATTCCTCTTGCCTATGCGATAGCGTTAATGATAGTGTCTTTTCTTTGAACTTGGGGTAGGAATTCAAGGTTTTCTCACTCTATACATCGGCCTATATCCTCTCCGAATGGGACCAGAGATTCGACCAATGCTTTGGTGCTTGGCCGGTTCCAGAAATAGGGTTCGAGAGTTGGCCTCAAAACATCAAGCAACGGAGGGTTCTCCACATCGTTGCTTATAGCCATCATATCCAAGATGTTATTGAATATACCATACCGTTCTAAAGAATTCTTCACAAGCCAAATATAGTCTTCGGAATATGTCTCTCCTGCACTCATCGGGATGGACCATGATAGAATGCAAGAGCTTGATCGGCCTGGCCGTTCGACAAGCGTTTCACCATCCATCCTTATCAACAAGCTGATCACAACAAGCCCATATGAATAAATGTCGGCCTTCTCCCAGTCGACATCTGGATCTTTAGCCACCACCTCTGGCGCACTCCAGAGCTTTGTGAGGTGAGCCGGTGAGCCGGATCCTTTCCTGGATGACAACTGGGCGCTACCCCCAAAATCGGTCAGCTTAGCAATAATCCCACGAGTAGGGTCTTCATGTGCCATAATAAGAATATTGTCCGGCTTCAGGTCGCCATGGATAAATCCTGCGCGGTGTATGGCGCTCAGGCCCAGCGCAATGTCAAGCGCGATATGACGTTTCTGTATAGGCGTTGGTCCAGGGTGCGCTTCCCGTATGACAAAGTCCAGAGAACCATGTTCCCCGAGTTCCATACCTAAGATTGGGAAACGCCCTGTTTTCTGCCACCCGAGGAAATGAACCCGGGCGATATTAGGGTGTTTGCGGAGTATAGGATGACAGTATGTACGAACTAAAAGTGTCAATAAATGGGGGGGGTTTTTTTTTTTTCATAAGGCTCAGGGGTTCAAGCATGTTTTTATTACCGTGGTAGGGAAATATTGGCTTCGGGGACAAGATAAAAGGTAATTAGAAACTCAGTATTACTTACTCTCGCGCAGGATAGCCCGGTATACCCCATTTCTTGCCTCTCCCACGGCAGAGGGACTACTATCATGGTTGCCAGACTTAAAGGCCTTCAGCGCAACAATAGACTTTGGCGGCAAGATATGCTTAGTCTCTTCGCCAGTGACATGTCGAAAAACGTCTGCAGTCAATCCGCTACCAAGGGAAAATAACTCGGGAGCTGAGCCAATGCGCTCAGCTACGCCGAGGTTGTTGATATGTGTCGAAGGAATCTTGTAATGCTCTGATGCTTGAATTATATCCAAGAAATTTAGAGGCACCGTCGAATCGTGTAGATCATTGTCATGGTTAAGTGACTGACTTAAGCTGGGGGTCTTCTTGGGGGGTTCGCTTGTTTCTGTTGACTGGTCTTTAGACTCGGCGTCCGCAAAAGCACGCCCGGAGCGATAATTCCCAGTTGTGGAATACATGTCTGTAGAACTTGCTCTGGGAAATGTAGTATGCTATGGGTTCACCATATGCGTAAACATATGTAAAGATAGACATTTACGCAATAATGCTTTGTCTCGATGCTAGTACAGCTATGGAAAGAGGATTGTGCTACTTTATGTTGCGACCCCTGACTATAACATCACTTACTAACACGTTCCGGCATCAGGACTATCTTATTTCCTTTTCGCAACCATTCACAATACACGTCGTTGTTCTATCGACTCCGCCACATCGCTTCCTGGAATACTAGTCATATTGAAATGCACAATTAAAAACTCGCCGTTCGTGTTTACATATAGAGGCTGGTAGTCTTTGCCACTTAAGTAACCTCGGCTATACTTGCCAACGCATCAAAGAGTGACACGTAAAGATGCGGATTTAGGCCTAGAGTGCTGCCTACGGTCCTCAAATTCTTCGGTGTCGCTTTAGGGAATGCAATAAGTCTACGCCCAAGCCAATGCCGGGCACAAATGGGCATGCAGGTACAATCTAAATTGTCATTTAGTTCTAGACTGAATTCCGGGTGGAATATTCAACGTTACAGTGGCGGTGCAAAAAGAAGACGCAATAGATTTCATAAACGATCATAAAGGAAAGAAGATGGTGTGAAGCAGCCTTGTGATTTGAGGCTGCTATATAATGCGAACAAATATATTAGGTCAAAGCCACCGTCGGGCATAAATGCGCAGATACTGAGCCAAACTACTGGCAGGTTAATATGTTGAGACAGCGTAACCGAATCTGAACGCGTCAGCGCAAATTTATACGACGTAGGTAATAAATGTAATAGATGATACGTTAAAGCCGCTAATCAACAGGAAGTTTAGCGTGAACACTGCCTAGACTCCTCATATCTATATCTATAGACACTTGTGGCAGTGCAATATGTTGGAAAGGGGAACTTCTGATTGGTGTTTGCTAGGGCGAATCACATAAACAGGGCCCTGGAAGGATAGCTTACCAAAGAGGTAATTAATACCAAAGGCCCCCTAAATAATGTTGATAGAGATAATATCTTCTATAGAGCTGTCGCAATATGCTCCCAAGTGCTACTTTCGACCACGGTTTAGTTCAATGCGAAACTTTTCAATTCTTCCTGGCTTCATTTCTAACTCAGTTCTCATCATTGCTAAAGGTTTCCCGGTATGGCCGAAGTGACTGGGGTCGCCATGGGCGTAGTAAGCATTGCTATGGCCTTTAAAGGGGCGGTCGATACTTATCTTTTCATCGGATCATTCTTTGACGAGAACAATAGAGGATGTAGTTATGCCGCTCTTCGCTATCACATCGAAAAGACTCGGCTCCGGCTCTGGGGCGATCAATGCCAGGTTGAGAACCCATCCAACTGTACACTTCGGGATAGACCAGTGTACATTCAGGAGGTAGTGGTTAAAATACTAGCACAAGTCAAGAATCTGAATGCAGATGTCCAAACACTGGCGGATAAGCAAAACGTGCTCCCATCTGAAGTTCTACCTAATAAAGATCTCGGGAAGAGCATGGATCCGAATAGTGACGGTGTTGCTGAAATGGGAAGTCGCATGAAGTTAGCAAGACCAAGATCTGTGCTTAGCTGGGTGATAAAGGACAGGTCGGACTTCGAAGAAAAGGTTGAAAGGATCCACAAGCTCATTACTGATCTATTCGAAATCACTCTTCAGCAGAGAGAGATCCAGAACCTAAATGATGGTCTTCCAAGCCGCGCCATAGCTCCGCTAAATCGCGAAGACCTCTTAGAGGCCTTAGCTAGAGATAGAACGATGATTCATCAGCCATTAGGTCTTGCGGCTTTAGCAAAACTGTCTCAGTCACGAATATCCGTCGGTACAGGCTCAGCGAGCTGCATCACCAGTCAAGAGTTGACCATAGTCAACACTTCATCAAATACCGGCATCCTCAAGCGCTCAGACGGGAGTTATCTCGTCGTACGGGTCGAATGGAACATCGTGAAATCTGGGTCTCACACGCAGAGATACATCGATCGCATCAAAGCGCTGGGATATGTTCTAGAGCAAGTGAGTGAATCAGCGCTCAGGTTACCGCCATGTTATGGCGTATTTGACGACCTATCATATGAGGCAAATATGGCAAACGAAGGAGAAAAGCGGCTGGGATATATCTTTGGACTGCCTCGCACAGACTCCACCCTCAATAACCTTGCGAGGCACTCGTACGATGAAGACCTCAACAGCTACCCCCCGATTACGCTGAGAGAGCTTATTAAGAACCAAAATAAAGGCTCAATTCCATTATTGGAGGACCGCTTTCAGCTCGCGTACACTTTAGCATGTGCGTTTAGTCGTTTTCACGTCGCAGGATGGCTACACAAAGGTTTCCATACGGGAAGCATCGTCTTCTTTCAAAACAAGGGCGGGAAAGGTATGGTGGATGTGACCGAGCCGTTCATCACTGGATTCCAATACTCCCGTCCGCAAGAGGAGAGCTCTCTTTCCCAAAGTCCGCTCCAGAACAAGACCCTAGAGCATTACTATCATCCCGATGCCGACAGAGGCTTCACCAAACGGCTAGATCTCTATAGCTTAGGCGTCGTATTATGCGAGATCGGATGCTGGAGCTTGGTCCCTAGCTCCAGTAAGAACAAGACCAGAGCGGAGTGGAGGAAGCGCATGTTGGATACGGTGCGTACGGAGCTTGGATGGAGGATGGGGAGTAAATATCAAGGCGTTGTTAGGACGCTGCTTGAATGCGAACTCCCATCTGATGACCTTGGCTCGGAATACTTTGCGATGCAGTTTCTAGAAAAGGTTATGAAGCCACTATGCTACTGCAATGCCTAGGATAACATGAATTAATTAGGTGGTTTTGTTAAGAACTTATTGTCGCGGTACGGGGATTAGCAAACGCGTCAAAGGCGTATAGGTTATCTATGTACGGATGTCTCTTTCAAAAGTTTTTACCATAGAAAGACTCTTGTCACCCCCCCCGGTACCTAAGCTTTGACCAAGCTTGGCAACAACTACTCACCTATTTAACATGCCTATCTTATTTTACTCTACTATTTCGATAGGATATAATTTTTAAATTAAACTTTAAAAAATTTTCAGGATGAACATTACAAATATAAAAGAAATGTTTTTAATATAATAGTTTTTTGATTTATTTTGAAATTATATTCGGCTATAAAACCTAGTAAGTAATATATATATCTTTAAATTACCCGATAATTGCTGGTCAAGTATTAGATAGCTGTCGACAATCTTGACAGGGGTTCCCTATGGTAAAAATTTTTAAAAGGGACATTCGTACAGTAAAGTACAGAAATAATACCGTATTTTACAGGGTATTAAACTAAACCCTACGAAGTACATCTATTACGGAGCTACCCTCGTAGGACACGTTTCGCACTGTATCTACCCCCTTTTACATTCTCGGCCTTGACACCTTGTTATCTAACCTACCAATATAAAATAATGAAGTATACCGTGAGTAAATGTTTATATATTATTATATTATAAAGATTTATATTTCATTCCGGCCATTTAAATTGTGGGGAAGGCTTCAGATACTCGATTTCCACCATCAATGCGTCCTCAGGTAAATACATTACGTACCTATACAATGAGACAGCAGACCCGGAAAGTAATCTTACTAGAAGTAGTAGACTCTCCAACCTAATAGCTGATTCGTAATGAACTCCTTTTAACCCCCCTAAGTATTGGCATGACACAATATGTAGAAACCCACTAGAGCTTAATACCTAGCACATACATCTCCGATATGGGCAATAAGCTCCTCGATGTGATACGGCTTCGTCGTTACGCCGTCCTAATAAGGAAAAAAAAAGGTCAATATTACACCAAGCGTTGTCTTGTCGGGACTCGACCTACCATGCCTACTTCCATAGCCCCGCTAACCTGTTTGCTACGCACGTTGGCTGTAACTCCGAGTATTGGTATATGTCCCTCGAGTTCACCATTTGCTTCTAGCCTCCGAATCTCCCGCGTAAACTCAATACCGTTCATAATCGGCATTTCGATATCACACAATATCACATCGAACGGGTTCTCTATATGCGAGATCTCAGGTTTGTTATTCTGCACAGCGTCGAGGGCGTCTCTTCCATGGTTGGCAGCTTTCACGATGAAGTCGTGGTTGCGCAGCTGTTTACACAAGACCTTTTGATTAACCAAATTGTCCTCGACAACGAGAACCTTGACTGGCGGGTGTTCGTGTGGCGGAGGACTTGGGTCCTCTGATATTTGGGGGAAGCCACCCACTTCATCTTCGTCTTCCAATGGCAGGGGGGTCCCGTCTGCAGCTATGCTAAACGATCGACTTAGTCTAACAACAGGTTCTGAGGCATTCGAAGAATGGCGAGGAAACTCGCAACGCTGGGTCTTGACGTAAAATGCAAATTTGCAACCCGACCCGGGGCTACTAGCCATTCCTATCTCGCCTCCAAGCATCTCGGTAATCTGGCGAGAGATGAAGAGGCCCAGACCTGAACCCCCGTACTCGATATGCGTTTTCGGAGATGCCTGAGCGAAGCGATTAAAAACCTGCGCTTTTTCGCTTTCTGTCAAACCCTTGCCCGTGTCTTTGACGGAAAAGGAGAGAAACGCATCTTGTCGAGGCTCTTCTAAACTGCTAGGGGGGCAGGCATCAAATACAGGGCTGGCGGGTAAATATCTCTGGGGCACGTAATCTACCCCTAATTCACTTTCGGGAGGACGATATGTCGTTCCGGCTACCGCTACAATTATTTCCTTCGTTTTTGAGCTCTTTGTGAATTTGATAGCGTTCGTGACAAGATTAATGACGATTTGGAGGAATCTGTTCGGGTCCAGTAAAACACATCCTAAGCTGAGCATGGTCAGGGAATCGTCCTCGATAACCTTCAGCTTGATACCTGTCATCTTTAGCTCGGCGTCAAAGATTTTTAATGACGAGCGGACCAGTGCCATTGGTTGGACGGGAATTGGAGATACCACTAGTAGGTCAGAGTCGAGCTTTGAAACTGTCAACACGTCGTCGACGATTTGCTTCTGGTGCTGTACGCAGTATACAATCGTATTAGCAGCGTCAAGTGCGCTAGCAATCTCATTCTTCAAGATCTCCTTCGCGGGGTTATTTGAGCATATGGACCGTTTGCCATCGAATACTGCATCTAGTGTGATGAAGCTTCTCTTAACTGATTCGATAATTTCCTCGCTGCAGTGCAGAACCGCCGATAGGGGATTCCGTATTTCGTGGCTTATCATGTCCATGAACCGCTCCTGTTGAGTCCTTGATCGAATAGCCTCTTCCATCTTATCTGTCAAAACCTTGACAGCCATCTTCTGACCGCTGATATCTGTTACCCAAAAATCTATATGGTCAACTGTCCCATCCTCTCTAAACTGGGAAAACCCGGTAACGACGACGTAGGCGCCATTAGTCACAGTATTGTCGCCACCCGAAATAGTATAAGTTTTGTCAATTAGCTGAAACTCAACAGATTCGGGCCCGGTATGCTTTTGGAGTCGAGCAAAGAAGTCTTTACACGGCTGTACGTAATCTTCTCGGACCCATGGTAGCCATGGCTGCGGTATATCTGGAGAGGCACTATCAAGCTCAAAGTCGTAGAAAGACTTCCATGCATTGTTGCCATATTGGACGTAACCATCCCCATCCGTGCGGCAGATTCCAAGAGGGCAGTGTTCCGCATAGTTCCGCCATTTTGTCTCCGACTCCTCAAGCGCTTTCGAGCGAGATATAAGTTGCTGCTCGGTCCACTTGAGCTCGCTTATGTCCATTGTGAAAATCATTATACTTTCAACTTCATCCTTCTCGTTCAAGTCCGAATAACAAGCGCAGATCCCTGTTCGATGATCTGAGTACATGTGGCCTCGACGGAATGGCTCTCTTGAGCGAATTTGAAATGTCCCTCCCGTCTTATCAGTAAGAACTCTTTCTTGCCATTCTCGAAGTAAATCGGCGTCTTCTGGGACTACACTGTCGAGCCAACTAAGATTATGCTGGTCGGCAGGGCTTAGGCCAGAAAATTTATACCACACATCATTCGCGTATATAATCTATCGATAATTAACCCATATTCTCGATTATTCTTAGTTGGATAACAATATTACCTTGCCTTTCACGTCGGTAACCGCAAGACCAACAATGGAACGCTCGGCAAATCGAGAGAATCTCATATCGCTTCGTTTACGGTCCAGCTGAGCTCGTTTAGCCAAGTCGTTGTGGCGTGAGACTTCTTCTGATAACCTGGCTCGCGATACTTGTGACGCTGCAACATCTGCCACCAGTTTCAAGAACTCGCAAAAGTTGCTATTATACCTTCTGTAAGGGTTCAGGCCAACTACCATAAATGCCGCTATTTTAAAATCGTCTTTAATCGATACGACGGCGAATTCCTCAGCTAACGGATATCCTTTCCATCCGATACCATTTAATAGTTTATGTAATGATGGGTCGCTTTCTTCTAATATGAGTACCGAGTCGCATTTCAGTGTCTTGAGCATTGTAGGTGCAAACCCGTCAATGTCGCATGAGAGATCGAGATATTCCTGTCCCATGATACGCTCATGGTCTATTCCAATTATGCCCTCTAAGTGACACGGGTAGTTAGGTTGACTGGGGGTGGAACTGATGCCAAGTTGCTCGTCGAACGAGTATAACAGTGCAAACGGAATGTCCTTGCTATTATAGCTAAGTCCAGTTAGAAGCGTATTCCAGAGTTCCTTCATATTGTTCGCTGTTGCGGTATGGCGGGATAGTTGCTGAATGCACTCGTTCTGTCTCGAGCAAATAACATCTTCAGTCCTGTCTATGGGTATTCCGTACGATCCTTTCACCTCTCCTTCGTCGTTAGTAACCGGGATAAGCTTCCAATCAAAATAAATTTCTTCTACATGGCCATCCCTTTCTATTAACAGTCTAGTGCCCGTACACATAGACGTTTGGCCGGTTCGTCGCTGCGCGGAGATGTTTACAGAGAGTTGGTCCCAGATAGTAGAGAACACCTGGGAAGCCTCCATTCCCATAGATTCTGGGTGTTTGTTCCCCAATATCAGAAGATAGGCTTCATTATAAATGACACAGGATGACTCCCCCCAAAACAATATGGCCGGACTCGTGTCAGCTAAAAGGAAGCGAGACATGTGTCGAAGTTCCGAACTCCATTTTTCCCTTGGACCAAGAGCTGACTTGCTCCAGTCGATATTAAAAACGAACTTTTGGATCGGTGAAGTGGATGGTTTGAAGGTATCCAAGTCCTGCTCTTCAACTCCCGACGGCGCCTTTTGACAATTGCCGTTCTCTTTAGACGCACGTCCATGCATGGGTAAGCCAGCCTTGGGTAAGCCTAGCCTTTCACCGTTTGGAACCATCACGGCACCATTAGGTGACGTAACTTTGGTCGTGGCGATGGTGTCAAGTGGGTACCAAAGGGAGTAAGTTATGAGAGTAACTGACTGCAGGTTAATGCAATAGTCACGCTGGCGCTGACATGTCAGCGTTAATATTCAAGACTGATGATAATGGCGACGAGAAGATGAGTTTCCTTAGAGCCATTATTATCTGCTCGACATCGTAAAGAGAAAATATTGTAGAATCCATGCTCATTACTCGCCACCTCCGCTAACCACGCTTGATGGCTATTAAACTTTACGTCTAGCAATGTCAGTCAAATAGTTAAAAAGTCTATTTGGTAAATTCACTCTTCTTAATATCAGCCTGTCAGAATAAGCATTTTAAGTAGACTAGTAGGGAGCTACTTATTTGCCTTCGCCTTAATGCTAGTCTTCGTCACATAATCATCATCATCTTAACGGAAGGTTCCGATCTATACCATCTAGTAAAATCCGGGGTAAATAGTTTAATGGAGAATCTCCAATCGATCCAGTAGCATAAAGGGGTCGTTTATACTAGTATGTGTCTTAGACTTAGGCACCTAAGTTGTCGGAACCGAACCCACGAGACAGCTACTACTAAATGGTTGTTAGTTAACTTATAAGCTTTATACTTGTCTAGATCGCCTCGATCGGGCGAATAAGCGATTTAAGTAATGGCTGAAAACTAGGATAAAGGGCATAATCAGATAGTATTAAATTTGAGTATTTGTTATGGGGTACCTAGGTACGTCAAATACCTAATACTATTACAGCTGTCAAAGCAGCATTCCCTTAATCATTAACATACTTATTGTCATAGCGTTTATTTTGATATGATTTTGGGAAATATATATGATTTGGTGGTTATAAATGCATTATTAGCTACCCTTTATATGTCTTCATTGTGACTAGTTGCGTCGAATCCCACAGTGGCATCCGATAAGCTATAAAATCTAGACCCTATCAAGATCGCGCTTTTCAGAATTACCGACTCCATTTGCCTAGGTATGACTGGGATCACGTAAGAACTAGCACCCGTTACGAGTCGAGCATATACATTACCAATTCTCTAATTTCCTCGGAGGTCTCAATCTTTCTTACCTACCTGGATACCTGGATACTTGTTCTATCTCGATATTTGAACACAGTAATTCACAGTGCGATATCTAATCATGGGTTCTCAATTCTCCGGATCAGATCTCGATCTGGCTCCGCTCCCGCCCAAAGATTTTATTGTGAGTTTGCGGACCGGAAAAATCAGGCCTTTCGGGGGTCTTAAAGGTTTGACGTCGGCGATCAACAAGCAACCCCGGCAAGGCAAGATCCGGCTTACAGCAGGCGGCCTCGAGGGTGATGAACGTCAATATATCAACCATAATAGTCCAGATAACGCCATTCATCAATATGATCCCCGCCACTATGAAGAATGGAAGAATATCTTACCAGAACGTACTCACAAGTTCAAAGTTGGCGCGTTCGGCGAGAATATATCTTCTGCGCACCTCTCGGAAGCCAATCTATGTGTCGGAGACAAATTCCGGTTGGGGGCCGACGCCATCGTTCAGGTTACTATGTTAAGACAGCCCTGCTATAAGTTAAACCACCGATTTGAGTACAAGAAGATGTCAAGACTCATTCAGAGTACTGGATTTACCGGATGGTATTATCGAGTTCTACATGGAGGTGATGTCCAAGAAGGCGACCCGATCGAATTGATCGAACGTATTAACCCACGATGGTCTCTCTTAAGAATACACTATATTCTTTATACGGACTCTAATAATACGAAAGCGATAGAGGAGATCAGTAAACTGGAAGGGCTTAGCCAGGAATTCCTTGATTTAACCCAGAGCAGACTTTCTAAAGGGGTCGAGAACATGAATCGACGCCTCCTAGGTGACTTTGCTGTGCCATGGCACTTATACAAGTTGGTTGAAAAAACTAGGCTTACTCCGAGAGTACAAAAATTCATCTTCAAGTCCGAGGAACCTGATACGGACGTGGAAGATTTGAATTTCGGCCGCTTTCCGCATGTGCGTCTCAAGTTCGGACCAGATTCCAAGTTCACCAGAGCTTATTCGGTCGTCTCGGGGGATATGAGATCATTTGAGCTAGGAATCGCGAAAGATGATGATTCAAGAGGCGGATCGCTATATCTACACGATAACTTGAAGATTGGCGATATTCTGGAGGTAGCCAAGGGACACAATGCGGTTGTTCCTATAATAAATAGTGACCAAGTCGATACACCAACAAGGCACATCTTTATTATAGGTGGAATTGGTGTCACTGCCTTCATTGATGAGATTCGGACTCTCGAGAATAAATCTGCCAACTTCGAGATTCACTACGCCGTTCGTAGCAGAAAGGAGGCGGCATACCTTGATCATCTACCAGACAGTAGGACTACTATTTATGCAAAGAGCGAGGGCAAACGGTTGGATGTGGCTGAGATCATTCCATCGCCTGACGATTGCAGGGATAATTGTAAGACTTTGGTTTACTGCTGTGGCCCATCGTCGCTGCTTGCCGCTTGTCGTGACACGACAACGAAGTTAGGCTATCCCCGATCCCAGACCCATTTCGAGGAGTTTGGCGGTGCTGGAACAGGCACAGGTGACCCTTTTGAAGCCGAGATTAAAAACACTGGGGAAGTTCTTCAGGTCCCTCAAGAGAAATCATTATTGGACGTCCTTAACGAAGCCGGTTTCGAGATAGAATCATCATGTCTCGTAGGAAATTGTGGAACCTGCATGGTAGATGTTTGCAAAGGGAAGGTTGTTCACCAAGGTGTAGCCCTAGAAGATGAGCAGAAGGAGAGCAGTATGCTGACCTGTGTGAGCCGTGGTAAGGGAAGGATTGTGATTGATTGTTAAGAGGACCACACCTAAATTCTAGTATGAGCGTTCCTTGATACCAATTATTAGTCCTATCTGTATATATACAGTCAATACCTGTAACTAATTTCTACATTTCAATATATCGATACGCCCTGTATCAGAAGTCAATCACCTTTCTTGCTACTACTACTATATGTCACTGCCGAAGGTTGTGGACTGCCGCGTTCTGGCCGGTTCGGAGTCCGGCAGTGTTAGGATTACGGCTAAACTGCCGAGATCTAGTACAGTAGACCCCGGAGGAGTAAGATCTGTTAGGACGTCTCACATTCGATGATCTCCGCCTTCATATAAGTAAGAGTAGACGGCAAATCTATTTATTATTAATTACAAGCATGAGTTGGAGACACCAGCGTCCAAAAATAGTATCTACTCGATTTAATATAAGGTAACATGTACCGGAGTATCGCGTTCCAGCCCCCAAGCGGTGTAGGTAGCAGTTCATCCTTATCTTCTGCAAGTGCCATGATGTTTTAAGCCGGGTATATAAGCCAAAATGAGGCGGGCTGAGGCAAAATTCAGGAGCCCCTCCTTTTCCGGCTTCGCGTCCTACAAAATGAAGCGATAATCTCAACGCGATAATGCTCATGAATAGCTTGGTGAAGAAAATTGGATATTTGGAATAACTTTGAGATAGAACGATAGAACAGGCGCTATGATCTATTCGCTACTTCTACTGGGTGCAGGTCTAGCTTCGCAGGCCTCAGCAGCATGTACCCGAGAATTGCTTCAGGAGGCTACGGCGGCATACGTCAAAGCTCAAGCTGCCGGAGACCCGAATTTGCCTGCTCTGGCTAGCAACGCCAGCTACTTGGAGAACGACACTCCTGGAGATATCAAGAAGGGAATTCTAAGCCAAGCCATCACCATCGACTTCAACCGCAGTCTGCACGACACAACCCAATGCGCTACGTTTACGGAGCTGTCCGCGGCCACCAACAAGAATCCGTACGTAATCCACACACGCCTGCTCTTTACCGATGACAAGATCACGGCCGTGCAATCGGTTGTCGCGGACCAAGGCGACTGGGCGTTCAACGCGACGGGACAGCTCTACTGGACCAAGCAGGAGAAGTGGGACACGATCCCAGAAGACAAGCGCGACAGCCGCGAGGTCATCCAGGCCGCCGGTGATGCGTACCTCGACAGCTGGGGTGATGGTACTGTCACGGTCCCGTACGGCACGCCGTGTGCTCGTCTCGAGGGTGGCTCCTACACAGGGGGCTCTCGACCGACAGCCAACACATGCGTGATGCCGCAATTCCCGCAGCCATTTAAGGTCGAGAACCGCCGTTACGTCATCGACGAGGAAGTCGGCGGTCTTGACATCTTCAACGACTTCCCGTTCATCGACGCGGGGAAGCCGGATGGTACGCCTAGCACCAACTTTATCCGGGTTGAGGGCGGCAAGCTCAGGTACATCCACGAGGTCACCGTGTGCACGACTCGTAACTGTGGAAGATGAATGGTTGGTCTGCTATGAGATGTGAGGCTCACAAAATGGTATGGGCGGATTGGTCGTGTAGGGGTTGCTGTAGCTTAGTATTTCTTTCAAAGGTATTCTTAGCTTAGGTAGCCAAATTCTACAAATATTTACCTAATATTTGTATCGCCATGTATAACATCCGTTAGAACCATGGGATATACATAATGTGTAGGTAAATATTGTATTTGTACCTGTATTAGTGTATTTAGGAGCTACTTAGCCTGAAGTTTTTGGACTTGGAGTTATCACCGCATGTGGGTTTCTCTTATTCGACTAAGGTTCTCTTCTGGTGTCAGGAGATATTCAGGCCGTATGAAGCCGAAGTGGAACTAAGATATTTATGGATATCATATGGACGAATGGGAAATATCTAACATGTATAGTGTATTGGCTAGATCGGAGGAGAGACCTGATGATCGTGGAGGACATGAATTGGACTGACAAGGACCGGATCGGTACATACAGGGCTACGTCAGATCGAATTAGGGGACTTCCTTGAGGGGCTTGATGGGGTAACACGACCTTAAGTGCGTGGGGGAGACAGAATGGCCATGATTGGTGAATATCTTAGCGTCATGCGCTACCCCGCCAAACAGGGTTTTGTCTAACCAATTAATCGACACCGTTTTTCTCCAACAGATGCTTTTCGGATGCTTCTAACCATTCAAGCATTCCGTCTCCATCGACGACATCCTGCAGCAACGGCATCGTGGCTCCCCGGCGCTATCTTATTCTCATCCCGATCGCTTACATTCAAGACATTACATCACATCGCCTTGTATTCTTCCGAAACTAGGGATATATATATGCCACTACAGTCACATCCTAAGTTGTTTCGTGTCTGTCATCTTTGAAAGGAGCCTGCTATAAGTACCTAGACATTAGCTTAGGCAGCAAGAAATATAAAGGTATTATTTTGAAAAACAACCTGAACATAATCTACTGAGAATACTTTTTGCAAATCGTATCTTAGTTATTCAATATGGAAACTCAAATTTTTATTCCTTTTAGACCAATCCCATCTCTCAACTCCTATCCAGGAGCAATGACAGAACCCAATGTGTCCGACTCTAAAGAAAAGTTCTTTCGGTATTTCCAAGCTGAAATAACTGGTGAGATTATCTTTACTATCGCTACCTAAATGTCCTTCAGACTGACACATAAAAGCTATACAAAGCCAAATCGATGATCTTTCGACTCTATCCCCTGTCGGCGGCGAGAGACAGGACTGCATCGACATGGTCCTAGCTGGAATATCTCGTCTGTCTAATGAGGTTATGGACGCTGGCGATTATATCCCAGCCTATGACCAAAGAACTTATGCTCAGGTACTAATCACTCATCGCCTGGTAAACATTAATCTTCGTTCTCACATCTAGACAGGCTATGAAAGCCCTCACAGACAAACTCAACGAGACGACGGCCAAATTTGCGCCGAAGTCAAGATTCCAGTTCAAGTCAAAATCCTCCAAAGCAGCACCGGGGGCAGAACCTCGAGCCGATCCCCGCCAACGTACTTCCTTCAGCAACGTAGGATCTAGGCAGTCACCAGTCTTGGATGCAGCAAAACGCGACGCAGCAAAACGCGACGCTGCAGGAACCGCCGCCGAAATAGCGAAGAACTACAACGAAGAGCTTGAGCAACAGTCAGGTGTGAGGAAGCCGAGTTTCTCTAACGCCAAGAGTATTTCTATCTACGACCACTCCGGACTGCACATTATGCTGCCCTCAACAGCATCTAGGGCTACGTCTTCGGGAAGTCTGTCGAACCTCCAGCGATGCGTCGTGGATATGACAGCACCTACGAGCGCGGGAACGCCGTTTGCTGGCCTTGCATTAAAGAATATTCAGCAGAGCCTGATTGTCGCTGGCCATGTTGCGGGGCCGGTTCACATTACCGGACTGAGAAACAGCATAGTTGTAGTAGCTGCGCGACAGGTCCGCATTCACGAGTGCGAGAATGTTGATGTATATCTCCATTGCTCAAGCCATCCTATCATCGAAGACTGCTCGGGAATGCGATTCGCGCCTCTACCGGAGCTTTATGTAAGTTTTCTCTAACTATTTATATGAAGAAGATGCGCTAATAATCCTGCAATAGGCCACTAAGCTAGAGATAAAGGGCGAGAGCCAGTGGGACCAGGTTGATGATTTCAAGTGGCTGAAGACCGAACCATCTCCGAACTGGGCCGTCTTGCCTGAGGAGAAGCGCATCCCGGAGGACGTGTGGAAGAATTCCGTGTGTGGAAGTCCTAGTCTCAGCACGGTCGATATACTGCGCAGAGCTGGTGTGCTCAGCTCATAACCATCTCAATTCCTTCCGAACACTCTTGAAACTCTCTCCTTGTTCGAGTTTCGATGTATAAGCATGGGTCTAGCGTATGGCGTCGGTTTTTATTGTGGTCTTATCCTGTGTAATACTGTAATACACACAAATCCTAGCAACAAGTAGTTATTATGAACGAGTAACCCTCGCTGTATTCCCACACCTGGCCCCTCTCGTGGTATCGTATCGTACCGTGTCGTGAAATAGCCTGAACACCGAAACTCCATGCCAATGCGAGTATATAATAGCTTCTGTACCGTGCATATCTAACGACGAACTAAGCAACCCGTAGTCACTTTTCTGGTTTATTTTTCTCACTTGCCCCATTACCACCACTCATTCAATCCGTAATCATCCTATCGCGGTCCCCATCGTCTTGCTGCGCCGCCAACTGCGCGCCCATCTCGCGCAGCTTATCCAGCATATCCCGCTGTCGCGCGAGCCGTGCTTCTAGCGCCGCAATCTCGGTCTCCTGATTGGGTATCGTGCGGCTCATATCAGGCAGACCGCGGATCAACACGCGCGCGCGCTGGAATCGGTGTTTAAGGACGTCGGCGGCAGGTGGGATCTCCTTGAGGGCTAGCTCGCCTGTGTTGGTCGTCGTCGTGGCGCCGTTGTTAGTTTGCGCCTGGGACTGGTTCTGCGGCTGCGCGTGTCGGTGGGATGGAGGAGGAGGAGGTTGCTGAGAGGGCGTGGGTGCGGGCGTGTTGCCTGTTGCGGTGCTGGATGGGGTGCGCAGGCGGTTGAGCAGCACGGCGAGTTCGGTTAGGGTGTCGAGGGTATCGGGGTTTAGGCCGTCAGGCATTGCGAGGACTTGGGTCCTTGGTGCTGCCGATGTCGATGCCATTATAAATGCGAATGCGATATGATGTCTTGATAGAAAAATGTAAAGTTGAATAAGAGGATTCAGGGTTTGGCTTAGGACAAAGATGTTTAGAGGTGAGCACTTTGTAATTAGCTGTTTGGTATTCAAACGCTAATATGCGGTAGTAGTTTACGTAAAGGTGAACCTTGATGGCGAAGGGACAGCTGAAATCAGCCTCAAACCCTATTAATAGAGCTAGACGTGATTGTCAATAGTTTCGCCAACGATGATTGACTATTGGTGTTGTATTATGTATAAGGCGGACCGCGTTCCAGCGGGTCGGAGATCTGAGCTGGTCTTTCCGGTATGTGGGGTTTACGCATTGACGTCAAGTTAAAATTCACCTCTGCAGTTTTGAGATAGTGGGGTTATCCGACCGCCTCGAGATGATACTGATCTTCAAGATTAAAATAATATATGGTTTCAGTGTGATAGTCTGAGCTCATTTCTTGTTGTTTATATATTTCCTACGTGTTATTTCATGATCTATATCCTCAAACATATATGCATTTAGTACCTAATATTAATAAATAATAAAAGAAAATACGTAACATGAGGTGTAATAATCACCTGAGGGGAATAATGGCAAGATAGTATTATCGATAAAGACCAACCCCCACTATAAGCCATCCCTAACCCATAGCAGCCCACCATCATGCGAAACATCTCAACACTTCAAGTTCAAGCCATTTACCTCCGTAGAAAATCACTCAACATTCTCCTTTTTCTTTCTTCTTTCCTAGACCTCTACCCTAAGATCATTTCATACTATTGTTAAACTAGTTAAAAGATAACTTAAAAGCAAGAATGGCTGCGACGAAGCAAAAGGCGTGTCTGAGTACGTCCTATCCCTCTATTTTTTCTGTTTCTCTTGCCCCTCCTCCTCATATCACTCGAACCGGGCCTAGAAAGCCTGATTACTTTACTTCTGCTTGCTATTTCCTCATATATCTCGAGATTGGCTGGCTAATCTTCTACGCCTTACGAACTTTACAGTCGTGATTGATGGCTGGGGTATTGCCTCCGCCGACTCGCCTAAAAATGGCGATGCTATCGCCGCTGCCAAGACTCCCGTCATGGACGACCTGTCCAAGAGCGCAACTGGTTTCACCGAATTAGACGCTTCTTCCCTCGCCGTTGGACTTCCCGAGGGTCTCATGGGTAACTCGGAAGTTGGCCACTTGAACATTGGAGCCGGAAGAGTAGTATGGCAAGATGTCGTTCGAATCGACTTGACCATCAAGAAGAACGAGCTTTCCAGTAACGAGGTCATCAAGAATGTTATCGAGAGAGCCAAGAATGGTACGGGGAGGCTTCACCTGTGCGGTCTGGTCTCTCACGGTGGAGTTGTACGTCAAATCACTTTGGAATCTCGCAGGCCTTGTTGTTGACTTCATTATTTAGCACGCCAAACAAACCCACTTGTACGCTCTACTAAAAGCCGCCAAGGCCGCCGGAGTCCCCAAGGTCTATATCCACTTCTTCGGCGACGGCCGTGATACCGACCCCAAGTCAGGAGCTGGCTATATGCAGGAGCTCATCGACACGGCGAAGGATATTGGCATTGGAGAGATAGCCACCGTCGTCGGTCGATACTACGCTATGGATCGTGATAAGCGATGGGAAAGAGTTGAGCTTGCTCTGAAGGGTATGATTCTAGGAGAAGGAGAAGAGAGTTCCGATCCGGTCAAGACCGTCAAGGAACGGTATGAGAAGGGCGAGAATGATGAGTTCCTTAAACCCATTATCGTCGGTGGCCAAGAAGCACGGATCAAGGATGATGATGAGGTTTTCTTCTTCAACTACCGATCAGACCGTGTCCGACAGATCACTCAGCTTCTCGGAGGAGTTGACAGGTCGCCTAGGCCCGACTTCCCTTACCCTAAGATCAACCTTGTCACCATGACACAATACAAGGCCGACTACCCCTTCGAAATTGCCTTTAAGCCTCAACATATGGGCAACGTATTGGCCGAGTGGCTTGGCAAGCAAGGCGTCAAACAAGTCCACATCGCCGAGACCGAGAAATATGCTCACGTAACATTCTTCTTCAATGGTGGTGTCGAGAAGGTCTTCGCTCTAGAGATCCGAGACGAATCTCAGGACTTGGTGCCTTCCAACAAGTCCGTCGCGACATATGACAAGGCTCCTGAAATGAGTGCCGACGGTGTTGCAAAGCAGGTTTGCAAGAGACTTGCAGAGCAAGAGTTCCCGTTCGTCATGAACAACTTCGCTCCCCCGGATATGGTGGGTCATACAGGTGTGTATGAAGCTGCCATCGTTGGCTGCGAAGCTACCGACAAGGCTATTGGCCTGATCCGCGATGCCTGCAAGAAAGAAGGTTATATCCTCTTTATCACTGCCGACCACGGCAACGCTGAGGAGATGAAATTCCCCGATGGCAAGCCTAAGACTTCTCACACGACTAACAAGGTTCCTTTCATCATGGACAACGCGCCCAAGGGCTGGTCATTGAAGAAGGCTGATGGTGTTCTTGGAGACGTCGCCCCAACTATCTTGACGGCTATGGGTCTACCAGTGCCCGAGGAGATGACTGGCCAGAGTCTCTTAGTTGTTGAATAAGTGGCATTATTTCGTAAAGCATCATAGTTGGAACACTGGGCTAGATGGGGAGTTGGTAGGGATTAGGTAGAGGCGACATGGAAGGCGTAGAGATATACCAACCGTATTAGACGATGAATATGGTTATTGATAATAGACTTTCTTCATTGATTCTTTTTTAAGATTTGACTGTGAAATTTGATGTTATGTGCATAATATAAATCATAGTTCTATTGAGTTGATAGCTAATAAGAATAGATTATTAAGGTTCAACCTTGAAGGTTCCGATTCCTTGGGCTTGTTGGCTCGATACCTAGGTACTAACCTTCTAAATGCATATTTGTGGGTGTATCAGATATTGCCGATAATTACATACACCTATCCGTTTACGTGCTAGCGCGCACACGCAGTTTGACAATTCCAAAACTTCAGCAACTTGATCACAGCCCCACCAAATCGACTTTTTCCTGAACCTCGACCATCGTGAAAGGACCTCGCTTTGACCTCCCCCGCGACCACTTCCAAGATGGATTCCGAAGACCCCCAAGAGCGTCCCGAGGATGTTACCAACATCATCAACGGCTTAGAGCGATACAACCCTGAAGCCGTAGGTAATCTGGAGGATTATCTACGCCACCAGTGCGAAAACAGATATACCGATTCCAATGCGAATCGAACCTTATTAAAGCTGTGAGTATTTTTCTGAATATTTAAAATGGTGTTAATGTCTTCTTTGGCTGGAACGATGATCAAATTATTCACGTTTCCTATTACCTGACTGGTAGTGACGTTTAATAATAAACGTCTGCCGTTGTGATGTCTCTTTTAGTTCTACCTGACCTCCAAGTCGACTTCCCCTCGCGCTACTTACATACGTCTCCATATATCACAATAATATTATCAGGAAAGCTAACCATAAATACAAATCCTAGATACCAACTTAATCCCGACCGTGTTAAGGATGAGGTCATCACAAACGTCTTAGTCAAGTCCCTTACTCTATTCCCGTCACCTCAGTTCTCCCTGGCGCTGCACCTGATCTCTCCCAACCTTGTGGCGCCTAACCAGCGTGCCGAACTACCTGAGGCCATCTCCAAGCTACGGGAGCTGAATCTGCAGCTACAAGGTGCGCAGTACGCGCGGTTCTGGGCAACACTTGATTCGGACGATCTATATGCCGATCTGACCACCGACATCGACGGCTTCGAGGAGTTGATCCGCGGCCGCATCGCCAACCTCATTAGCCACGCCTACCGCGAGATTGAGCTGTCCGTACTTGAGCAGTGGCTCGGTCTCGAGGGCCAGGCTGCCGTTAAGTTCGTCTCCGAGACCGTCGGCTGGAAGGTCGAAGATGCCCTCGTCAAGATCCCCCGCAACCCTGAGAACGAGGCCAAGAAGAGCGAAGTCCGCGAGGACGTCAACGTAGACATGTTCTCGAGAGTCATCAGACGGGCCTGGGAAGAGACCGTATAATCTTACCTAGGACAACTCGTCCGGGGGGTTACGACTTTGGCGGTAACGGTGGTGGATCGGTAGCGAGACTAAAACAGCATTGGGAAAGACGACAATACGTCTTTGGCGTTACGGATGAAGAATTCGGTAATTTCCGGATTTGATGTGCTGTTTGCTCCGCCGTCGTTAGATAGGCGGCCATGAGATATCAGAAATGAATAAAAACCACGATCTGAATGAACATAATGCATCTTTTCTCATCGTTTCGTAGTCTCATCACTTGTTCCCTCTTCACTTATAGGACGTTCTATCTCAATAGTTAGACTTCTGAACACATTAGAGCAATGCGACTAGATTAATTGAAGGCTTCAGTCTAACACAAGCAAGAAGCAGCAGGAAGAGATATGCTTAGTCTCTTCAGTCACAATAATCTTTCTCTCGAGTCCTCCAAAATTAACACTTGCATTCCTTTCCCCTTTTCCTCATACCATACTCATCACAGAGACACATAACACCCAGAAGCCCCCCTACTATCGTTTAGCACCCGTAGCAGTCAATTCCTCCCACTGCACCCCAGCCCATTCCTCAAGGTATCCAACCTCACCTTCAGACACACCACGAGCCTGACAGTCCTTCTCGCACACTCCAACAATAACAGTACCCCAATCCATACCCTCAAGAGATAACTCATCAGCCTCCAACTCCGTAATCGCATGCGGCGTCATCTGCACCTCAAAGGTCCGCGCAGCACCACAATTCCCACACCGCGGCATTCCATTCGCCGCCGTCGTCACCACCCCCGTCCCAGGCGTCGCGAACAGCTTCCCCACAGCGTCCGTCTTCGAGTACAGCAGCGGCTGCCCGCCGAACTCGTACCGGATCGCTTGTTCTGGGTTCTGCGCCAGGCGGTCTGCGAAGCGCTGGAAGGCGGCGTCCATAGAGGACTCGAAGACTTCGCGGTCTTCTTTGCCGCCTTTTTTTCCGTCGTTGTCGTCGACGTCGACCAGGCGCGTGTTTTGCGGGATGCTGGGCGCGGGGGTCGGGTCTAGGGTCTCGTACTCGGCTTCGGAGAGGTAGGCGATTGGGTAGGGGGTTGGTTGGTCGGCTTCGATGGGCCAGGGCTCTGAGGGGGGTGGAGGGGAGGGGGTTTGTTGGTTGTTGTTTAGGTTGAGGGTTTGGGCGAAGGTCCGAGGTAGGGATTTGATATCGTCTGTGGGTGTGTTGATAGATGGTGCGGAGGATTCTGGCTTGGGTTCGGGTTTTGTCTCCGTAGAAGGTGGAGGCGATGAGGGAGTGCTGAAGGGGTTTTCGCTAGTAGCGAATGGATTACCTCCGGCTGAGGATGTAGTAGATGTGGAAAATGGGTTTGTGGAGCCGAATGGGGAGCCGAGCGCCTGGGCGCCAAAGAGTGTCTCTCCTAGATTGGATGGCGGTTGCGATTTTGGCTTTTCTTCTTTCGGCTTTGTCTTCTCTTCCTTAGTTGTAGCAGTTGCAGCGGCTGTTGCGCTTCCAGGAGCTATTCGTACGCTTCGTAGAGCGCGAATACTGCCTTCTTTTCGACGACATGTTTTCCGCCGGCAGGAGAAGACGTATAGTCGGCGCTCATGGCCGGGGAAGCGAATCGGTAGTTCACCGTCTAGCTGTAGGAGTAGGACCATAAGATCCTTGCATATCTTGCATCTCGCGAGAGCAGCCGATGGCGCATTATTCGAGTCTAACCATTCCTATATATCATAACGCCGACGTTAGTCGCGACTCGCGAGGTATACGGAAGGAAATATAAAAATGGGTATCGTATACCGGACGGCCACCTAATCGACTTATAAAATCATCACCAGCGTCTCTTGATGCATATCCAAGAAGTACGTTAGTCTCGGTAAATTCATCTTCTTCGCCGGCAGACGAATCGCTATCGTACGGGGCCATATTGCAATGATGTTTCCTTATGATAACTAAATATTTTCGTGCCGGCTGAGTTTGACTTCGTCGCAAATATTTTTTTTTTTCTTATCAATTTGGAGGGGTTGATGGAGGGGTTTATCTACAGTATTTAAGTACCGTTTTATCAATCTAAACAGTGCGTATAATACTTCACACAGACCGTTTATCTTAAGAATGTTAAGATAATTTCACTTACAAGGCTAAGGAGTATCACTAAATGGCAGCTAGGTACTTTAATATGCTTAAAATACTACTAATAACAGGCAACCAGGTATAGTATCATCCAAAAATCTCCACAATGTATTTTCACTCTAGTTTGGGTAGTTAAAATATCAAGGGTTCATGGTAGTTACTTGTACTGGTTAACTCTTTATCAACACACTCTTCTCTCTAATCTTTGGGTATCTACCTGGAATTTCGGTTCCTAATTCCTAGCACGGAAACAAATTCGTTATTCCGCAAGGAACTCTAACTATCTATGAGATTCTAGGTCTATAAATACTAAACCTGTTCTTTTTTCTAGATGTCTGATCTATAATCCTGACACAAACTCCATGTTCCAACTTTAAGAGTCGTCTCAACTTGCTACTTCGATTTGAGATAGGAGAACTATTACGGTAGTTATTTATACGTTGTCAGAATGTGAATATCAGTTTCCTATTCTCTCATATATAAGTTACACTATTATGTTGAGATTCTCTTAGTTGATGTTGTGGTTCTAATGTAAGGGTACCGTCAAACGAGCCCCTTTACTTCTCAACACTTCTTGTGAGCCTGTTCCGCATGCAACAAGACATCCCTCCAATCGGGCATCTTATCTATCTTATATTCAATATAAATAGCAAGTTATATTACCTCTGAGCTTGTCCTCCGAAATAGACTTTCACCAATAGTCTCTAGGGCCTCATATCTATCTATGACGATAGATAGATACGTGAGAGATATCAAAATATAGGCAAACGCCGAGGCAATGGGATTGAGAAGAAATCCCAACATGTTTCTAGGTAAGAAGTGCTAGTGGAGATAGTATCGCAAATTAAACCAATTAGTAGCAGCGGCTTTCTTAGTTCTGTTCAAGGACAACCAGTAGGTTTGTTGCCGAGTTGATTCCACCATTCGACATCATATGGAATTGTATTCGGGACTTGGTACGTAGGCTCCCGGACTCGCAGTCGCTTGGACGAATATAGCCTCATTAATCCAAACTTGGCAGACGGTATGTTCGACTAACTTTATAGTACTTTCTTGCATTGGGTAGAAGCTGATCATACTCCGTACATGAGATTTGGAGGTAAGCGAAGCGATGGCTATTTTCTTCCAAATGCCTTTAATATGATGACACTGCAACTAAAATTAGTCATAAGATCCGGAGATATTCATTGAGCCGTAAATGTGGGAGAGGTAGTATGACGAGGTATCCAAGTGAACACGACCCCTATACATTTGTAGATAGTTATTATTGCTGTATGGTACATCATAAGATTTACAAATCAACTAGGGCTGAACAGCCAACTACCTAAGTTATACTATAAATGATTATGTTCACAAACATAAGATATAAAGGAATGGAAGTAATTACATAGGTATATCTAAGTACCTACCAATACCTTCTAGAGCAAGTGATCCTATATCCCTTTGTGAAACAGCCCTAGCATTGCGATATTTCTAAAGATACTTGTTCCGGACTTAATACGGACTTTTCCATGATCTAAGTTAGAAGCAATTGTAACGCTATTTTTGCCATGATGACCGGGGTGATTTAACATCTGCATCAACATCCCATACTCTCATCGACTGAACAGTCGACAGCTGTTTAATAGCTCCATAACATGAGGAGTATGTTTTATGTTCACTAACAGGGGCTTTGCCTTATACGGTATCCCCGAGTGCAGGACCAAGAAACATGTATAGCCAAGCAAGTCGGCCCAAGCAATCCCATCTCGCGGTATAGTTCGCGTTTTATGACTTATGCTTGACTTAATACCTTGTTAGAGCGACTAGGTATCGGATAGTTCGGTACTCACCAACGAAAAAATTAGCGCCAAGCTTCTGTGATCCACTGACAACCACGGAAAATGAGGGGAAAGAGGAAAAAAGTAGGGAGAGTGTTAGAAATTCTATGTGGGAATCAGCTAGTATTTACAATACCCAGGTAGGTAGACTATGAGGTTAAGGCGAAAGAGTCTCGAATTTCTTCTCGGGGTATCACAAGGTCTCGGACAATTTGCACCAAGCCCTACAGGTATAAGGCTAACCGGGTCTCCATAACTTTACAGTACCTTAGATACCTATTATAGAATATTGTGACTAATTTGGCCAATCAAATTATAAGTATGTTATGCTATCCAAAAAGACAGACGTTTCGGTGTCTATCACCGCAACTCTATGCCAGCGTCGGACGCTCGCTGTTATATACGATTTCAAATCATTAAGCTTCATATTAATATTCAGCAAACGTATGACCAATCAATACTATCCACGGAAGTCCGAGAATCACCGCCACGAAATCAGCCATTATTCGCGTTCCACGAGTTAAAATGCGAAGTCGGCGGTTGGCATGAACTATATATATAGCCTTGACTAGAAGACATCATTATAGTTCTCGATCCTCCAGCCCTATACACAACTGTCTTATTCTAGTAACATTAGTTGATTTCAAAAATCCCATAACAATGTCTCCAGCATTACTTATCAAAGACGTCCGCATCTTTGACGGCGAAAGAGAGATTCCATCTGGCAGTGTACTTGTGGAAAACGGCTTGGTCAAGCAAGTGGCAGAAGGATCACTTACCGCACCAGACTCAGCTACCATTGTCGTTTCCAAAAAAGGACATACACTACTCCCTGGACTTATCGATGGCCATATTCACGCAGATGTCGACGATGAAGGTTCAACACTAAGGCAGTTTTTGAAGTTTGGCTTTACTACTGTCTGTGATATGCACCAGGAGGCCGAGAACATCGGCAAACTAAGGGAACAAGCTGCAAAGGACTCGGATTCGGCAGATTACAAGACTGCCAGTCAAGCTGCAACTGTATCTGGAGGGTGGCCGACGCCTGCTATATTAGCCCATGATAGCTCGGATGAGGTAGACACTTTCATATATTTGGAAAATTTACACGATGCTAATAATAAGTCAGACTAAAGCTCGAATTGCTGCCTGGCCAAATATAAAGAGTAAAGTTGATGTGGACGCTTTCATTCAAGATCGCCTCAATGACAAGGTGGATTACATCAAGTTGATACATGAAGATGGCAACGGTCTGTCCATGAAGCCTACATTGATACCCGTGGAGCTTCAGAAAGCCATCGTCGAAGCCACCCACAAGAATGGCCTTCTCGCAGTTGCACACGCTTTGAGTCTGAAAGGGACAATAGAAATGTTACAGGCTGGCGTCAACGGGATGGTGCACACCTTCTTCGACCGGCCACCTACAAAGGAAGTAATCGACGCATACCTATTGAACAATGCGTATGTCTTGTCTTTCCAACATCCGAAACCTCAGCGTTGACAGGTTTTTTTCTAACGAGATGAATATAGATACTGTAGCCCAACCCTAGTGACGATCGCCAGCTTGACCTCGGAAGGGCTGAAAGAGCAACAGAAATACTGTCAAGATCCTCGAGCCCACAAGCACCTAAGCGACCAAAGTAAAAAGAACCTTCACAGATGCATGGCACTCAGCGACAGCGCGGCAAAAGTTGCATACGCTTACCAAAGTGTAAGGGAGCTGAAAGCTGCCGGAATCGACATTGTATTGTAAGTGCGACCGCAACTAAACATATGTACTTCCTAGTCTCTAATTCTTCATTCAGGGGATCTGACTCTGCTGGCCCAGCACACGGAACTGCTTTTGGCCTTACTGCACACCAGGAGTTAGCCGTGCTGGTTAAAGAATGCGGCTTCACTCCGAAGGAGGCACTAAGTGCAGGGACTGCGCTAGTAGCCAAGAGATTGCGTCTCAACGACAGAGGAAGAATTGCTAAAGGGCTCAGGGCGGATCTAGTCTTGGTGGAGGGTAATCCTCTCGAGGATATCGACCACACGCTTAACATCCGGGGTGTGTGGAAGAAGGGTGATCTTTGTTCAGCGTATAAGGGAATTACAGCGTAGGCAACCGAACCAGTCGGCTATACTAGAATACGTACGTAACCATAGACTTATCCCTACTCATATACTCAATATAACAAGTCAACCTGTTATACAGATGATGGAAACTATATTAAAGTACCCCAGACGCGGTGAAGCCTAAGATGGTGTGGTGTTTCAATCTTGCACAAACGCTAAGAATATATAAATGGAAATCTCTAACATATTTTCACATCCGAATTGGTGTAGTGGCTAACATTTGACGCTCTCAAAGGCTTCTAGTTGAAGGACCGTCAAGCCCGGGGTTCGATTCCCCGATTCGGAGTTCTTTTTGCCTTTATTTTGCAGTTAAACATGCCCTCGGTCTCATATTTTGTGGGAATTAAATATGCAAATTCAATTTTTATTGTGGTCCCATTAACCCCTCCGAGTAATGCTAGTCGACAAAAATTACGCGAGATTTTTTGGTCCCACTCGGGAAATATCTTCGTCGAGATTCGGCCTAAAAGTATGAGACCCACATGAGATTAGCTTATACATACCAAATGGGATTAATATTGCCGTGATTTTAACATCGGTTAGATGTAGAGCTTCTTTTAGATATGGTTTAATCAGCAAGTCACAAATGTTCCCCACTAGGCATCTATAAGAAAGCATGTTATTATGGAATTCACGTCGAAACTCATGACAATATAACATCATGTGAATAGTCTCATTTGAAAGAGTTGACTAAAGTCAGGTCTCCACCCAGTGCGACATATCCCGGGTGGTGAATAAGAAGATAACTGATGCAAGAGCTTGGGACTACCCAATGTAACCAATTTGTGAATATCTAGGAACCAATACATATGGCATAGAGACTACTATTTTATGGGCTTGAGCATTTCGCTGGTTACGGGGCATCTTCCTTCTAAGACTAACGCAACTCCCCAAAGGAGAACCGTTCACATTTCCCGTTGTTCTCTTGCGAAGTTAAATATGATAATATATCCTCTAATACCATACCCGTAACAATTTTTCCCATTTACAAGAAGCATTTGTACATCATAATTTCTCATGATCAAATATCTAGAATTTATAATAGTAGCTAAATAATACTTCAAAGATTGGCAAGGAGACTTCTTAGATATCGTCTTGGTAAAATTCACTTGTTATATACGGCTGGTAAGGTATCGCTACTTAGCAATGTTTAGGTATTCTTGTAATCGAAAGCAAGTAACTAGCTTAATATGTTAGCTGTCACTCGGTGACTTACTCATATTACTGATATCGTACACCTAAGGGATCTAGTTGTCACCTGCTAAGTTTAGAATGCCTATGAAATGTTGTTCTATATTTAATAATCACTACGTTTGTACAGTAATTCTTGTGATTAAGATATGTTTAGATAGATAATCTCACATCAATTATCACGTCGAGGATTTTTAAAAGCTAGGTGTAGTAAAGCAGTTCCTCACTTCAATGGGATAATTGGCGTTCGTAAATCAATGTTTGTAACTGCTGAATGCCTAGACAATACTACTCTGAATCACTTAATGATAGTACTAAAGAAGGTCTAATATATATACAGATATAAAATTCTGTACTTAAACATATAGGAACTCCCTATTGTTTCTGCTGTTCTCGCCCACTCCGCTTCCAACATATTTTCCGAGGTACTCAACACATTTCGTACTATCAACGCTTCCATACAGCCAGTCATTGTCCCTGAGTTGGCTTACGATAAATATTTAAAATAGTTAAATGTTGGTTTAGCGGAGTGGCGCCTCAACATGCCATATCTTAAGGACCGAGGCCTTAAATGTCTCCCTATTCGACATACGGAGGTCCCAGAGCCGACCTCGTTGGCTAGTTCGTCAGACACGACGTTGCCCAACCCACTACACCCCTGCGAATTCCCTCCTTTTGACCCAACCGCCTCGTTTTGGACCATAATTCGGTCGGAGCCTGCTACACCTCTCACGCAACCTACTCCAGCCGTTATTACACCGAGCACACCGATAGGGATAAGCCCTATAGGCACGACCGGGCTGCCACGTCCCACATTCTCTCCCCCTTCCGAAACACCACCTAATACAATAATAATCATCATTGTGGCATTCTCAGGTTCGCTTGGGCTTATTATAAGTCTCTGCATTGCCTTTGCGTGCTATCGATCATTAAAGCGTCGTCGACAACAGAATGCTAGCGAAGAAAGAAATGATCAGTATAACGTCGAAGAAAATGCAGCTGCCCCGCAAGAGAATAAGCAGAATAGTAACAATTCACTTGAGGGGAATGAGCACGGGATTAGCCCTTTCAGACCTATCTCAAACCATTCCACGCAGAGGGCAGCCGCCGGGCAACATTTAGGATCGTCTCTAGGAACGTCTTTGGGTTCTACTATGAATACCGGAAGAGCGTAGCAGCGTAGGAAGATGGCGAAAAAAATCGGAAGCCGCATCTTAGATTTTAATAATTTAGGGAAGCGTGAAGAGAAGGCAGGACTTTAATATCAGTAGTGCGGAGAGCAATTTAGCAGGGATCCTAATGTTTAATTCAATCTAGGTATCGGAAATTAGGACATAATGGTACCTTAGAAGGTGACAATTTAAGAAGTATGTCCTCAAGTGATAGAAAACTGTAGTGTATAGTCAACCGATCCTATGTGGGTAATATACTGCGGCTTTCTGGTGCTTAAAGAGACGCTACTGAACTTTAGGTGTTACTTCTATAGGTACCTAACCTAGGGGGTTATTATGATATACTACCTTAAAACAATCATGGAAGTGAGCCTTTATACTTAAGGTAGGTAAATTACCTAAGGTAGTTCGAATTGCATACAGAAACAAAGCATTTGTAAGTTCGATATAACGTAGTTTAAGATTTTCATAGCGTTATTGATTATTTGACGCGTCTAAATCTATATATTTATACAATTCTTTCGTTTATATCGAAGATTAGATGTTAGTGCTTGGTGGCATTAGTATTTTCAATTTCCCATAAAAAGCCATCCAGTGATATCAACATGGATTTAGTTAAAGTCGCTTGCTGCTATTAAAATCGTAGAGATATTTCAAGTAGTTCTATAAGTCTATTTGTGAATCTACTGATAGGATTTAACGTCAACTCGTGAACTACCTATTGAATGAAAGGTAATTAACAGGTACATAGTATAGTACCTGAATCGGTAGAAGAAGCAATTAGGTTCTTGTTCCTTAATTGTGGGGCATGAGTTCGGCTACCGGTAGCGCCACGCTATATATAGAATGATGGTTCCACTACGGGTAGATCCGCCCCCACATCGCCCACAGTACCGGGTTCTTGGTAACCTTATTCATTAGGTACTTAATTGGTCCTTGGTCTCAACATCACGAAGAATAATTTAGCGACTTCACGAACGTAACGATATTATGAGATTTCTATCTACATCGTAAAAAAGGCTAGTCACAACACTTAGTCAACGCCCTAAGTAGCATAGTTTGACTCAGTCGTCATCCATCCAAATCCCCATGGCCAACAGTGAACAATAATCTGAATCGATGTAAAACCGAATCATGGACAATGCGCAAACCATAAAACGAACTCGAGTACAAGATGCATTAAGAGAAGTATTTAACATCTAGCAACAAGGCTGAGCTCCAATACTTTTCTTCTAAAGTACACCATCAAACAAGCGCCCCTCATGATTCTTAGTGGTCCTCAAGGCCACAAAACGTCAAACAGAGGTCTACTTAGACCATTAGACGTCGCAGTAAGATCGAATAAATTTCAAGACGACTGGAACTTAAAATAAGTATAAACAACAATCAAGTGTCCAAGAAGATCCAGATTGAACGATAACGGATAAACGGCAGATATGAAAGAAGTTAACGCGACGAGAAAGGCCATAACGAAAACCTCGTCGATAATATCCTAGTATATCAACATAACATTGACATCGGCGGTATGGGAGGGTAGAGAAGCTTTGGAAGATTGCTAAACGACTCTGAAAGGATCTAAAACGGAAGATCAAGGAACATCGTTATAACAGAGCGAAGAGACCCTTTCGAAGTCTGCATCAGATATTCAGGCATAAATATCAGCCATGAATGCCTAGCAGAGATGGCTTGAGGGCCTTTATAATGCGCATACGTGTGTAAAGTAAGCGCATAAAGGACCTAATAGATGGGCTCTTAATTGCCATCCACCGTCCTTGCTTGAAAGAGATGGATAATATCATCCGCAAGCTAACCAAGACGAGCTAGGATCGCTTCCAACTCGGCAGCAATCTTGGCCTCGTGAGAAGCTTGCGAATTATCTGAACTGGGTGTACGATCATCTACGAGAGGTACACTGTTGGGTCCGTCTTTGAATAATTGGAGGCGGTATTCTTGGAGACTCTGTTTATCGGCTGGATGACTAGTTGGTGGGTTTTCAGTGAAATGATGAGTTGGCTTGGATGGAGTAGCACTATCACTGCATTAGAATCCTATTAAGCTCTCGGAATTCTCGTGGAGATGTAAGTAGCTCAACTTACCCATAGTATGCCGCGCTGTTTGAGTTGGTGGCCATAATCAATACTCGATGAGTGCTTTAGAATTGGACGAATATAGGCAGTTGCTGGATTCAAAGTGATAGAATTATATGAATATAAGTCTCACAGGATGTCTATCGCTGAATAGGTGGGCGGGGGATATAACTCTGGTTACGTGGACTTTCCAAATAATATATCAACAACATCGTCCATCTTAACCGGTCAACCTGCACCCGTCATGGCGAACCTGTCCGGAAGAGCTTTCGAGGCATCTAAGGCGTCCAAAGGCATCAACCATACATAAGGCGCGAAAGGAAGATGGTAATGCATTGAATAGCAACGACATGGTCGTACACCATAAGGCAGAATATTAGGAACGTTTGCACGTACATTTGTGGATCACTATATCCAGGCTGTGTCAGCATTGGGTCCCAGATTCTGTGACTGAGGTTAGCAATACCCTTAATTACGACGAACATGTTCTCGGTCAGTTGGCAGCCTAGGACGCCTACTAGGTGCCTCGTCTGCT